GCTGGCTTCTCACTGGGATTGGAGCTGTGTGTGCAGGTGTGGTGTCGGTGTCTGTCTGTCAGCACATGGCAGCAGCTTCTCTGAGCCTGATCCTTGCAGATGGGTAAGAATTCCCTGATTTATGCTGGAGTACAGGTCCCTGAGCATCACCTGCCTCTGTCTTTGCAGCCTGATAGCAGGGAGAGCAGATCTCTGTGTATTCCCACCTGAGAGGGGAGGCAGCAAGGCTGGCATACTTTCATGTGGATTTGATGTCTGCAGATTCAGATCACAGACTGACTGAATTAATAACTATTTTCCAAACCTTCCCTTTCATGCATGTGACTTACAGTAAATGTCTAATCTAAGGATATATATTGTCTGTAATACTGTTAATTAAAATTTTATGCATGTGTCAGGTGAACTCCTGATGTTTAATGTTAATTTTCACACTTGATATTGAAGGCTTTTCCTTTATTTTTGGTGCATGCTTAACTGGGCTATGCAGATATTTACCTTCAGGCTGATATGAAGGGCATTTTATCAGTGCAGACAAATCCTGGTTGGAGTTTTACATTCCAGAGGTGTGAATGGATTCTGCTGAAAGCCTGTCTATAGGTGGATTTGTGGGGCTGTTTGCTTTGAACTGAATTCATGAAGAGTTGTGGCTTGGCCTTGGTTCTGTGTTAGTCTCAGCAAGTTAAAAATGTTCCCTCATGCAGATTTCATTCACTGAGCTTCATCTCTAGTGAGAGAGATGAGGAGTTCAGGCAAGAATTTCTTCTGTCTGCACGTTGTGTGTAGGAAAGCACCAGGAGAATTCATGATTTGTGTAATGGAAGTGCTGGAATAGGGAAAAGGGCATGGGGTGTTTCCCTCCAGCTTAGCCCTGGTAACACAGGTAAACTTCACCTTCTTGTCTGCACATCTGTTTGCTTTGCCATTTGGAGATGTCAAGGTACTCAAAATCAGAGAAAATGGCTTGTAGGGACCAAGAGCAAAAATGAGGAAGGCTCCCCAAGACTGAACTGTTTAACTTTCACAGAAATCTGCTCAAGCCTTTTTCCTGCTAACCAAAACCAGCTTTAATCAACTGGTCTCACTTTCTGCTTTCTTTGCAACTCTGCTGTTAAAAATGCAAACTCACATTTTTGCTGAAGTTGCAAGTGCATTGTGCTTCCTTGTGGTTTGTTGTGAGAAGTTAATTCACTGAGGTCTCTGGAAAAAAAAATCTAAACTTTCTGTGTAAGAATTTGTTAGAATGTGTTAGAAGCCGTTCCTCACTTTTATGCAGTTGGGGTGTTTGGCTTTTTGATCTGTTTAATGGTAAAAGAGGTTGTTGTGGTGCTTCAAGATTTGGAATAATCCAAGAAAAGGCTTCCATTGTGTGGTGAGGGAGCAGAGGGAGTAAAGCAGGGACAAAACCAGAGCTCTAAGGTGAGGGTCAGTCCCACTGGAGTGTTGGTGCAGCATTGGTGAGGGGAACAGCAGCTCCATCAGCTTTTCATCCTGGCATCCCCTGGGTGTTCATTATGAGGTTTAGAGCAAGTTGGTTTTTATGGGCTATGAGTAGAATAAGATGAAAACATGTCCATCAAGAAAAGGAAAAAACAAGCCTTAATGTTTCTCTCATTGAAGGCCTTGGTTTTCAGGACTCAGAGATGAAGAATTCCTCACCGCTGATGGATTGATGGGTTTTGAGTCTGTTACAGAACAACAAGTGGAATATTTAATTTTCTGGAAGTGTGGAAATTGCTGGTTTCTCTTTACCCAGTGTGTTCTCTCCTGTGTTTGCTCTGGGATTGTTTTTCCAAAGTGCTCCTCCAGACTTAGAAAAGCTTCCAAAAGAGTTCTTCCTTTGGTTTCTTCTCCAAAACCAAGTGCCTGCTTTCCTAGTGGGATGTAATTGGGAGGGAATGAAGGCTCTTTGCTCTGTTTTTTTAGACTTTGACAGCTTTGTGTTGCATTTAATCAGCTCCAGAAGTGATCCAGAGTTGGGTTGTTTTTACTCATCTTGCAGAACTTAGGAGACTTAGAGTATTTTTCCTGTGCTTTTGTGTAAAAATGGCTGGATTTGGTGTGAGAGAGAGAAAAGGGAAGCAGTCTTGTATTCTTCAGGGACTTTTACATGTGAGGTATTAAAATTATTTTTCCAAAAGCCTGTGAAGTTGTAAAGTAAGAAACTTTTCTTTGACTGGGGAGGTACACACCGATGAGGCACCTGCTCCTGTAGTGTACTTGTAAAAAGATTTTGGGGAGGCCTCTCATCCCTGGCCTTGAAAGAAATAAAACTTCCATTAGGCACGAATGTTTTCCGTAGATTTGCAGTGGGTTAAAGGACAGGAAGTGGGGTTAGGAGTAAATGTTGGTTCTCATGGGGAAGGGCTCTGAGATAGTGAGATCAGCACTCACTGGTCAGTGCTCTTGCAAATACTCCCTTTAGCAGATTGGCCCGAAATAGTAAGATGGCTAAATTGAAACAAATTAGTCAAATTGAATTTAATCTTGAATTGAAAGGAATGATGAAAGATTGAGACCTGCTGAGGGGTAAAGTGGCAGGTGAAGTGCACAGGGAGAAGAAATGTGCACTAGAAGAACAACTCCCAAGGGACGCGTGGAATTTTAGGAAGTATTTGATACATGGGGAGTGCTAAGCAGTAAATGATTTGTGCTGTGATATAAACTTCTGTTGCTGCCAAATCTGAAATGCAGAGTGCTGGGAACTGTGTGTATCCCAAGGAAACAGAGTTTAATCTGTGCATGGAAAGACCACAGGCATGATGGAGATATGGAGAAGCTTCCAAGTAGCCTGAATTTCAGAAAACCTCAGCTCAGAAGGAGTTGGCCAATTCCCATAAAACCATGAGGGACATAAAGAAGCCCAAGGTGATGTTTCCTTTCTCAGAAACCTGAAGGAGTTGTTAGTTCATTGTGGCACTGTGGTTGTACCTGCTGAGGGTGTCACAGGGAGCTCAGGTGGCTTCCAGAGGGAGTGGGAGAGGCCAGGGTGCCCATGCTGGCATCCAGGGTGTCCCACTTGCTGATAATACAAGGGAATATGAGGAATACAAGGGAATAATCTCAGGCTCTTTGCACAAGAATTTGTGTCTGAGGATCTCAGGCTTGGTGGACTCCTAATCCAGCTGGTTTAGAAGGTTTTGTAGCTCTCCTGGGTTTGATTTGTCATGTTATTCATTGCTTTTCTGGTTGAAAAAGCTCAGTTTTTGTGGGAGGATTGGATTCTTCTGCTCTGGGATCTGTATAATCATCAGAATTCTGTCCATGGTTCCCTGGCACTTGGATCCTGTGGTGCCTCCAGCTGCAGGAGCTCCTGCCTGCAGCTGCTCCCAGCTCAGTGTGACCTTCCAGATCCCCTGGATAACTGGTTTCAGCTTTGCTGGGAACTTGCCTAACCCATTCTTGGCAAAAAGAAATGGCTTAGGCTAAGTAAGATATACATTGTGCTTTTTCTGTTTAATTTTTATTGTTTCCTCACCTTTTAGAAATCATACATTAGAGAGGGATCACAAGGGCAGGTGAGCCAACAGATCTGGGCAATGTAAAATTCCAGAGTGAAAGAACAGTCATGGAATGTTTGTGTAGCATCAACATTATCAAATTCTGGGTTTGATCCATACAGAATTTAAATGTCCCAGGAGATGCCCCTTTTTATTCCTGCTGCTGTTATCCATCTCCTCTCCTACAGCTGGTTCTAAATATTGGGGCATATATATAACACCAGGGGCATGAAGTTTACCTGAAGTTCAGTGTTGGTCTCATTCAAAGTCAATCTTCCATCATGTCATAAGAGGCTTTTGTTCTGCCAAAAATCAACTTTAGTGGAAGAATATCAAAGAAAACAACTCATTAGGTGTGTTCTGTGGTAACTTAACCTGCCCAGAAAGGTTTCCAAGGAAGGGAATTTGTCTTTATGCTTAAAAAAAACCATTACAGACCTGTGCTGACATTGAATTCTGCTTCCATTCCAAATGGCACTGTGGTAATTTGAAGAATGATAACAATGTCAGGTTTGAAATCTGTGCTGTCCTTGTTTCCAGTGTCTCTGTGAGGGATGGAGTTGGTTCTTGGGAGTGTTTGGAGGAGCATTATTAAAGGCCATGTGGATGGACATCTCTGTGACCGTGGCCAGCTCAGTTCCAGAGTCCCTGCTCAGTGTTTGTGCCACTGGTGGCTCTCAGGGCTGCTCTGTGCTCATGGAATGGCCAATCTGCCAGTTTGCTCAAGTAATTTATTCCAAAACTTAATAGGCCTCTGTTTACTTGAAACAGTGACCTTAACTAAAGAACTGACACTGCTTTCCAGCTCCACAGCTTGTCCTTGCCTTTTCTTGCCAATCATTTTGGCTTTACAGTTCCATTCTCATAGAATTAAAAATTCCTTGGTGCTGTACAAAGGACACACAGAGCAGAAAGTGTGGTTCTGCTGAGTGTTGTCAAATGAACAAAGTAAATGCATTTGGGAAAAAACAATTCCTTCTAATCTGCTTATCATGAAAGGTCACCTTGAGTTGGAGTATGTTGGGCCACGGGATCTCTGTCCTGAGACTGAGAGGGCTTTAAACTACCCAGGGTTTCAGAAATGGCCTGGTTGATTTTTTGGAAATTTCCCCGTTCTCTCTGGATGCAGATTCCTACTGTTAGAGGGCTGCTGAACATGGAATTTCTCACGTGGTTTCATCTGAGCTCTGTAATTTAAAGTTCTAGGTAGTTTTTATGTAGAAAAATAAGTCTCCAGGTTGGATTTTGTTTCTGGTTTGCTTTTAAAATTTTGCCTTTGTATCACTGTGATTGTCTTCTTGCTTTTGTTTTGCTCAGCACTTCAGGTTATTAATCTTAAATGTTTAATGTGACTAGTGAGAAGAACAAATTGTTTTCAAAATCCAAAGAAATTTGAGGAGGAAAAAATTAATCTAGGAAAATTTCTCCCAAGCGTGTGTGTCTTGCTGGCTGTGCAGAACAATCAGACCCAGCTAACCTGCTTTGTTTTCTTTCCTCACTCAGGTCATGATTTTCATTTTCTCCTGTCATTCTCTTGAGGAGAGGAAATGATTGTAGTGGAACGTGTCACAAACACGCCACTGCTCCGGAGCCTTCGCAGTTCAGAAACGTTCCTGGAAGAGCAAATTTAGCCCTTTGCTGTTTGTGTTGTGGAATCTGTCTTGGAAAAAAGGGAAATAAAAATGACGACTTCGTCTATCCGACGGCAGATGAAGAACATTGTGAACAATTACTCAGAGGCCGAAATAAAAGTTCGGGAAGCGACCTCAAATGACCCCTGGGGTCCTTCCAGTTCGTTGATGACTGAAATAGCAGATCTGACCTACAATGTTGTGGCCTTTTCTGAAATTATGAGCATGATCTGGAAACGACTGAATGACCACGGCAAGAACTGGCGACACGTCTACAAGGCCCTCACTCTCTTAGATTACCTGATTAAAACTGGGTCCGAGAGGGTGGCCCAGCAGTGTAAAGAGAATATTTTTGCTATCCAGACGTTGAAAGATTTTCAGTACATCGATCGAGATGGGAAAGACCAGGGCATCAACGTGAGGGAGAAATCCAAGCAGCTGGTGTCCCTCCTGAAGGACGACGAGCGCCTCAAGACGGAGAGGGCCCAAGCCCTGAAGACCAAAGAACGGATGGCTCAGGTGGCCACTGGGGTGGGCAGCAACCAGATCACCTTTGGCCGAGGCTCCAGCCAGCCCAACCTGTCCACCAGCTACTCAGAGCAGGAGTATGGAAAGTCTGGAGGATCCCCAGCATCCTACCATGGCTGTAAGTACAAACACACGCCAAGGTGTTCATCCTTTCCTCCGGAGGGCTGCTCTTGGGGGTGGGAGAGTGGAAATGCTGCCTGCAAGGAGAGCTGGGATCTCTGTGGGTCTGCTGCTGATGATGATGAGGGTCATGCTGTTGTGGGTCTCTGCTGTTGATGCCTCTGCAGATGCCTGGGTAAATATTTGCTACGGAGAGGATGTGTGTAGTGATGGAAATGGATTTTAAAAGCCCTTGTTTACTAGCAGTTCCAAAGGTAGCGCTGCCAGGCTGCTCCTGTGAACGTGTTCCAGGGTTGGCTGTGATGGGGATTTTCTGTTTGTTTCTGGTTTTAAAAGCAGTGCTTGAAGATGTGTTCTTTTTGTTCAGGATGGAATCATAGGATGGTTTTTGGGTTGGGAGGGAATTTAAAGCTGTTCTCATTCCACCTCTCTGCCATGCTCAGGGACACCTTCCACTGTCCCAGGTTGCTCCAAGTCCCATCCAGCCAATAATTCTTGGATTAAGAATAAATAAGAAATACAGACTATTTCCTGAATCATTTTGCTACTTTATGCTGCTCCTATTGTACTTTGGCAACAATGCTGCTGTTTAATTTACTTTATTGCTTACTCAGCAGTTCTTGGAGGAGGACTGCTTTAAATTTGTATTTAAATGTTTAAATTCCCAGTGTTTGGTGTGTGTCTATACTAAATACTATACTTCATTCTTAAAAAATGAATACAGTGATGTGGGAAGAACAAATTCTTTCCACCACTGCTTGGTGGGACTCCCTGTCATGTCAGGAAGAGGCCTGATTTGGCACTAAATCCTCCTTAGTGTAAGTAATGATCTGATGAAAGCTGCTTTGGCTGGAATGTCAGTGGTTGTGGTCTAATTCTGAAGGGAAATCTTTTCTTTAAATGAATATTTCCAGCGTGTGGAGGGCTGTGACTGAGCCAGGGTGCAGGAACCATTGAGCACCAGCTGTAAGAATCTGAAGTTTGTCATGTCCTGGGTCCCAAAGTGCTTCTTAAGTCATAAATCCATGAGTGGGGTCAGCCCTGCTGACATTTGCAGGAGGAGAGAGCAGGAAAATCAAACCAGGATGGAGAGAAATCTCTGTTTAAAGCCCTGGAGACAAGCAGAAAAAAGTATTTCCAAAAGGAAGTTTTGGTTTTTTTTAGCAGAGAGAGTACAAAAAATGTGAGTGAAGGTTTCCAGCTATTAGAATTTTTGATCTTGACTTTTAATTAGCAGTAGGATAACAAACATGTTAATTTTCTTGTAATAATATTTTCTCTGTATTTATGTAGTTTTTCTATAATAACCATGCTTGAGCACTGTGAATTTTTCAAGAAGAACTCGTATATTGTTACCTCAACAATAACAACATTTTTCCTTTTCAAATGTATCGATTGTTGGTGACTACAACAAAAATTCTTAATTTAGAAGTAGCTTGAAATATTGATTTTAACTTGGGCTGGTGGGCTGAAATTGAGGTATGCTGAGCACACCTTGGCTTTCACTGAATTATTGCTTCACCAGTCCCAACTTTAATTAAAGCCTGGAACTATTGTTTGGAATCTTAAATGCTGCCAGAGGCTCCAAACTGTTCCTCCCAGCAGGGCTGAGCAATGCAGGGCGTGTTCCTCAATTGTTCCTGGGATGCTTTAGGAATTTTGATGGGAGAAGCAGCAAATTTGGCTTTTCAGTGTTCCAGGGGTGGATTTGCTGCTCCCACCTCCCCGTGTGTGTCCTGTGGCAGGATTGCTTTGGAGGTAAAGATTCCTTAAGCTTTTCTTTTTCCCCTCACCTCCTAAGAAGATTTAGAAATCTCAGGTTTTTTTTTCTCCTCCTCCCCCCTCAGTTCTTCCTGTGTTCCAGCTCTCCTGGATTTTTTTTTCGCTGTGGATCAGCAGAAATCCAGGTGGCTCTCAGGTTGTCTGTTTAGAGGTTTTAATGTGTTTCTTGTCTGGTTTAATTGAGTGGAGCAAAGCAAACCAGCACCTTCCAGAACAGCTGTGCTGAGTCCTTCTGATATTGGAAACTGGGAAGAGCTTTATCCCAGGAAACGAGAAAGGAGTTTCATTAAAATCCAGACATTTAATCTCTTACATAAATGTAGGGTTATTACTGTGCCTGCTAAGTTTGATGGAAAAGATGCTTTTCATTATTTAAAGTGAAAGAGATTGTATCCATAGTATGTTCTTTTTTGAAGAAAAATATTAAATTTAAATAAACACACATATAAAATATAAATTAAAAATTTAAAATAAATTTTATAAATAAATAATATATATTTAAATTATATATTTTTATGATTAATACCCTTCTTTTGTGTTGAAAATCTGGATTTGGAAAAAAAAATCTGTAAAAGGAATGAAGTTCTGCTTCACTCCTGGGAAATGCTCCCCTTAGAACATCTCTAAGATGCTGTTGCTGCTCTGTATATTCTGGCAGAATTCTCTTTCATTCCTCTGAGCCTTTGAAGAAGAGATCAGAGACTTTTAGATTTGCCATCTACAGCATGAGATTTGCCTCTTCAAAATGTCCAGCCACCCTCTCTGCTGCATGTTCAGCACGTCTGCTTAGCAGGCAAACAGAAATCAAGTTTGGGACAGTGGCAGAGCCTTTTTGCCAGCACCACCCCAGGAAATGTTTCATCCCTCAGTGCTTTGCTAGCAGCACATTTTACTCTTCCTCCTTCTACACACGATGGGTAGGGGTTGCAGGATTAATTCCCCTTGCTTGAAGGATTTATGTTGGGTTATAAAATTTCATTTTCAGAGCTTTCTTGCAGAAGAAGGAGCTGAGAGTTTGGTAGTTGCTGCAGGACAGCTCACCAGTAACTTCCAGTGGATAGAGGGGTACTGGAGAGGATGTGAGGGAACTCTGTCCCCTCCTTTCTGGGACCAAAAAATGCAATTTTGCTTAAATCAGTGAAGCTTTTTTGGGTCAGTTTGTTGAGAATGTTGAATCAGCTGCACTGCACAGCCAGCACCGAGTGAACTCTCCTCAAACTCCTTCTCTTCTCCAGCTTCCCAACCTGTGCAGGTTTGCATGGGAAAAACTGGATTTTTGCTTGATGTTGAGCCACGAGGGGTTTTCTTAAAGAATTGCTGCTTTTTGTGTCCCAGATTCTTCCTTTGTGGCAAAATAAAAGCAGTATTGATACCCTGTGTAGTGAGAGAATTCAAGATGGAAAAGGATCCCTTGACTGATATCCAATCATCCCTCACTGCTGCAGGCAAATAAGGATATTTTCCCCTGTTTTCTTGTGAATATTTTCATTTCATCTCTAAAATTCTTTAGAAACTGTGCAAAACGAAGTGGTGCAACTTGATGGTTTTTAATAAAATCCTTTCCCCAAAAGCTTTGCTTAATGACTTTGTTGGCCCTGAAGATCTCTGTGCTTGGACAATTCCAGGGAGCACATTATGGCATGTGAATTGTAAAAGTATGTGTGGGGTTTTTTCCTACCCAGTCTCATAACCTGAGAATGGAAGCCATGAGAGATACTCAAAAGGAAAAATCAGAAATAAAGCTCCTCCCAACCTCCATCTTGTCAGCAATTTCTGACATACTGGGAACAATTGGTTTTATCTTTCAGCTTCAAACCAGGGACAATTAATGCTCAGATTAGGAGCTATTAAATATTCCATGACAAAATGCATAATTTTTATTTATTTTGGAAAATGTGCCAATTCCGTAGAGTTGCATAAAATCTGATATCAGATATATCTGGAAATATTCTTGTGTGGTGCTGAAACTAAACTTCCTGGGGAGAGGAAGGGATGTAAAGCAGATACTTAAAATCTTTTAGAGCAATAGTCCCTTACTCCTAATCTGCCACAGGGTCTAAATAATTGGGGTTTTGCCTGACATTTGTCACCCAGTTTCAAAAACTTCAGCCTCTTGTTCCTGGCCTTGTTTCATCTCCAGCTGCCAGTGACCACTTAAATAGGATTCTGGATTTATGGCTGCAGGAGGAAGAGTAGGATGTTCTTAATTTAGAGCCCTTAAGCCTGAGCTGGGATGCTGCTCCCAGCCTGGCAAACACTGGTGGTGTTCTAAAATCAAGTTTACTGAGGCCACGCTTTGAAAGAGATCCAGTCCTGTTATGCCCAAGCTGGGATGTCCAGGTGTTATTTTGGGTTGTGCCCACATCCTTCCCTTTTCCCCTGTGCTCCAGGAGGGTTTGGGAAGATGGGGTGGGATGGGATGGGGTCCAGGGATGGGAGGGATGGATGCCCTGATTTCAGTGGCACAAACCCTGATTTCAGTGGCACAAACCCCGATTTCAGTGGCACAAACCCCGATTTCAGTGGCACAAACCCTGATTTCAGTGGCACAAACCCTGATTTCAGTGGCACAAACCCTGATTTTATTGACACAAACCCCGATTTCAGTGGCACAAACCCTGATTTTAATGACACAAACCCTGATTTTATTGACACAAACCCTGATTTCAGTGACCCACACAGAACTCGGTGTGCCCTGATTTCAGCAGCACTGAAATCCCACCCCGAGATGGGCACAGCTCAGAGCCTGCTGAAGAGAGGAGATGCTGAAAGATGCACTGGGAAGGGCTTCTTTGGATCTTGGGAAATGCCAAGTCTTTAACCTGAACCTGGAAAAATTCTGGGAACAATTTGCTGTAGCTGAATTCATGAGCTTAATATTTCCAGTGATTATTGCTATTAAGTTGACTTGTTATTTAAAACCAGTTTTGTGAAGCCTCAGCAAGTTTGTGTTCACTCATCTGTTTTGGTTTTGTTTCCCTTTTTGCTTGGAGTAGAAAATAATTCAGAGGAATTGCTGTTTTGGGTTTGACACAATAGGAAATTTATGAAATCCAGAATGGTTTGGGTTGGAAGGGACCTTGAAGCTCATCCTGTCCCAGCCCCCTGCTGTGGGACACTTTCCACTATCCCAGGTTGCTCCAGCCTTGAACATTCCAGGGATGTGGCAGCCACAGCTTCTCTGGGCAGCCTGTTCCGTTAAGAACACTCCTGTTTTTAAAGGGTTTGGTTTTTATTTAATAATTATTTCTTTAATAATCTGTTCTGCGTCTCTGCAGGCTGGAACACATCCCTGCCCTTCCATCTTAGGGAATATAGGGAATATCACCCAGCAGTGAATCTGGCTGAACAGCGTGGAGAGTTCCTGTAGTTTGAGGTGTTGAAGGAATGTGGCAGACTCCTGTCAGATGTCATTTGACAGCTTGATTAAATCCTCTCATCATACATTTATTTTTCTGGTGCTGAGAGTGAAGGTGGGAGGTGCCACTGGTGCATCCAGACTTTGCAGTGACACTGAATTATCCAACTGTGTCCATTCACACGGGGGTAGGGATCACCTGAGAGGAAAATGCTCCCAGCAAAACAAACCTGAAGGATTTGTTGAGTGTTAAATGAATTTCAGCAGCTCTCAGTCTGCTCATTGCAATCAGAATCCTGCAGGAGGGCTGAGCAGCTCCACCTCATCACATTCATCAGTGTTATCAACTCTCCTCTTGTACCTGAAAGATCCCCAGGGGAAAGGTGGATTACACAATTCCTTCTGGATTAAGCAGTTTGCACTTGCCTTTCCATAATTTGGCTTTTTAAAATTATCCCATTTTATTTGAGTGGTCTTTCACTGGCAGACTGACAGATGGGATCTCTGCCTGCTCCCCAAGTGAGCAGGTTTCTGAGTCCTTACTTTGATATTATTTCAGTTTTTCAAGTCACTTTTGGTTTTGCCCACCTTTGTAGTTTCACTGAGTGTGTGAGGAATCAGCTTTTCATTCTGAGCAAATGTGGCTGACAGCTGAATTCTGGTCTTCAGAATTCCACCTGCAAATTAGAAAGCCTAACACTAAAGAAAAAACCCAGAAATAACAAAAACAGCCCCAAAACCCAAGCACAGGATTCTGAATGAAAATACAGTCTGATTTTTATGATTAGTGCAGCTCTCTGTGTCCTGTATTTCACTTTAACTCAGCCAGATCTATAACCAGCTACAGAGGCCTTTTAATAGAGCCAAAATATAGGAAATTATCAATAGATGTGTCTGGGAGCTGTCCAGACACAGATGGTGCAGCAGGATCCTGCTTTAGTGATTAACTGAGCCTCCAGATGATTTCCTTGAGCAGCCAGCCCTGTGCTCCCTGCAGGAACAGATCCCACAAATTTGCTCCTGGAGGCGCTGGGATCCCCAAATTCCCAGCAAAGCAGAGCTTAGCAGGTCAGAATTGATCTATTGAGTCCCATCTTACATAAACATCTGAGTTAATTGTCATGTGCTGGGGATAAGGGATGCTTTGTGTGGCACCATCCTGCTCCTGAGGCTGTAACCTTTCTGCTGGATCCTGGGAATTCTGACCTTGCAGCAGGATGAGGCCCACATGGACAGGAATCTTAGATAAAACTTGTCAGGTTACTCCCAAGAATGGCGCTTTGAATTTCCCTTAATTATTTTCAAAATTCTTTTCAAAAAGTGCTGGCAGCTCTTTAATGTGGATGGTTTTATAACACTGCAGAGGCTTACATGGAAAACAGCAACATTCCTATAGTTTGCTTTTTTATTGAGGCCCAAGGAAGAACTTCAAATGGACCCTTTCCCCTTTTATTTTAAGCCAAAAGGAGCTGGAAATACCTTTTAGAGTTAATGAAAGCAAGTAGAATGCATTGCTGGAAAGCCTAAAAGTGAGAAGGAATAACCTGGGTGTGTGTGAGCCCGTGGTGTCCGTGTGGGGATCCTGGAGCTCCTGGAGCTCCTTCCCATGCCTGGCTGGGAGTGCAGAGCCAGGGAAAGGCTGGGGGTGGGATGCAATCCCTGCTTTTAACAGCTTTTCCAGGCAGGAATGCTGGGCAGTGAGTTCAGCAAGTCCTTTGTGTGGAACTGGGAGGAAGGGCAGTGGAATTGAACCCGTTTTGCATCATTTTGGATTTAATGTCACTCTGCCATCAGGCTCGTGGTTGTTGTGGGGTGCAGGGATGTGGGAGCTGGGATGCAGGAAATGCAGGAAATGCAGGAAATGCAGGAAATGCAGGAAATGCAGGAAATCCCATTTCCCCCCCACAGGTAAAAGCCCAGCAGAGCAGAAGGTTCCTCCCTGCTCCCAGTCCAGGTGCCATCTGTTCTCAGGTGACTCTGCTGGTGTCCCATTTGTCCCAGGCTCTGCTTTTAAACCAGTTAGGACTCTTTCCTTCTCTAATCCCTGCTGCAAAACTGCTCTTCTCCATCTGCATCTGAAACCTATCCATGGCCACCTTATACCATGAATTCTTGCCCCTTTTTCTGAAATAGTTTTTTTCTCTCTGGTATTTGCAAGCCTGAGGTATTTGACAGCCATAAACTGCTCCACCTTCTTCTGGCAAAGATAAACAGAAAACGTTCTCTGGGCTCCAAAGGGAAGTGTTTCCACTTCCATCCTGATTTAAAATCATCCATTTTGGATTAGAATGATTAGAATTAGTGCTAATTTATTACCTGTGTTAGCTGAGTGGCTGGGAATTACCACATGCTTTAATCATCATATTTTTAATATAATGTATTGGAGAGCCTGGCAGTGACTGTTGGAGCAGTAAGTACTCATCAACCAGGCTAAATTTTAATTATTTTATATGAGAAAGTTTGAAAGAGTAATAGAATTGAGCGATGAGTAGCATCTTAATTGAAGTAAGGTTGGCTTGAGAGCTTCAGGATCAGCACAAGGTGGAGGAATCCTTGTGGGTGATAAATTAATTAGTGCCTTTAGAAGCAGCTGGGGTGGGAGGGCACCTCGGGGTGTGGTGGGAAGGAGGAAAGGTCATTCCTTGTTTCCACTTCTGCCCTGCTGCATGAGAAAGTTCTGTTTGTTTTGTGATGTCATTTTGGCCTGAAACTTAAGGAGAGAGAAAGACTAGGAAGCGTTTGGAAAATTAAAGTAGTGATGAAAAAGTGGTTTTCCAACTGAGTTTGGTAATCTCATTTTCACATGCCCAGCTGAGCTGGTAGGAAGAAACTTGATTTCTTTGAGCTTGACACACTAGTTTGAAACATTCAATTAAATGTATTAAATATCAGTATCTATTTTGCCAAACTAATCATCAGTCCAGCCACTAAATACAAACTTCCTTGCCAAAGTGAGGTAAAATTCCTGTGTGAATGATTTGGATGCTAAAGAATTGTCTGAGAGAGAGTGAACACTAAATTGTTTAATTACTGTGTAGTGCTAAAACCTGCTAGTGGTGTAGGAAGGGAACGTCACATGCTCCTGGAGTGAAAACATCACTAAAAGATGGTTTGTGTGTTGAGAAATTGCATATTTTAGCTGTCAAGGATGACTGTTCCTTGAAGAGGAGGGGAGGAGATACCCCCAAAAAACCCCAACCAGCCCCAGAAACCAACCAATACCCCCAACCCATTTACCAAACTCTTCTTTAACAGAGACTGATCCTGTATTTGTGTCAGTTTGGAGTCTGAATAGCTGGTTTGTTTATCCCCAAGCCTGCTCAGCAGTTAAGAATAGTTCTTTATCTTCCCATTAAGACTGTATTATTTTATAGAAAAGTGGGTGGTATCCAGCTTTACCCTGATATTGGCCCACTCCCAGCAGATCCTTACTGACACTGGAAGGAGTAAAATGCAAGAAATGTAAGGAAGATGTAAAAAATACCCACAAATGTTTCCTTCAGCAATGAATTTTTAATTCAGGAACTCTGATACACTCAGGATAGGAAGATGTAAGAAATACAAATGTTTCCTTCAGCATTGAATTTAGTCAGGAGCTCTGATACACTCAGGATGTATCCAGCATGAAATGTAAGGAAGATGTAAGAAATACCCACAAAAGTTTCCTTCAGCATTGAATTTGTAAGTCAGGAGCTCTGATACACTCGGGGTATATCCAGCATGAAATGTAGGGAAGATGTAATACCCACAAATGTTTCCTTCAGCATTGAATTTAGTCAGGAGCTCTGATACACTCAGGGTATATCCAGCATGAAATGTAGGGAAGATGTAATACCCACAAATGTTTCCTTCAGCAGTGAATTTTTAATTCAGGAGCTCTGATACACTCGGCGTATATCCAGCGTGAGTTGGGGGGCACTTCTTGATGTCACAGCCCTATAAAAAAGCTGTTTTTCCAGGAATGCGTTCCCTTAAAGCAGCTGAGCTGCGGCGCAGAGCTGAATTCCCGCTTGGCCGTGGCAGAAGGAGCTCTGGAGGCCGGGCTGGCTGCAGGGTCCCGTCCTCGCTGTGCTGACCGTGCTGGCTTTGTCTCCCACAGCGACGTCCCCTCGCGTGTCCTCGGAGCTGGAGCAGGCGCGGCCCCAGACCAGCGGCGAGGAGGAGCTGCAGCTGCAGCTGGCGCTGGCCATGAGCCGCGAGGTGGCCGAGCAGGTCGGTGTCCTGTGCCAATGGCCCTGCTGGGACAGGTCCCATTGCACCTGGCGTGTTTGGTTGGGTTTGGTTTGGTTTGGTTTTGTTTATTTTATTTTATTTTATTTTATTTTATTTTATTTTATTTTATTTTATTTTAAATTTTATTTTATTTTATTTTATTTTATTTTATTTTATTTTATTTTATTTTATTTATTTTCTGTTTATTTTATTTATTTTATTTTATTTTAATTTAATTTAAATTCTATTTTTATTTTATTTTATTTTATTTTATTTTAAATTTTATTTTATTTTATTTTATTTTATTTTTTATTTATTTTATTATTTTATTTTATTTTATTTTATTTTATTTTATTTTATTTTATTTTATTTTATTTTATTTTATTTTTTTTTATTTTATTTTATTTTATTTATTTTTTATCTTATTTTACCTTGTTTTATCTTATTTTATCTTATTTTTATTTTTATTTTATTTTTATTTTATTTTTATTTTACCTTGTTTTATCTTATTTTATCTTATATTATTTTATCTTACTTTATTTTATCTTATTTTACTTTTATTTAATTCCATTTATTAATTATTTTGTTTTTCGATTTTTTTTATTTTATTCTTATTTTATCTTACATTATCTTATTTTATTTTTAAATTTTTTAAATTAATTTTTTAAGTTTTTATTTTATTTTATCTTATTTAACCTTATTTTTAATTTATTTTTTAAAAAGTTCTATTTTATTTTTATTTTTATTTTTTGTTTTATTTTTATTTTATTTTCTCTTTATCTTATTTTATTTTTAAAATTTTATTTATTTTTTTTATCCTTATTTAATCTTATTTAATCTTATTTTTATTTTATCTTTATTTTTGAGATTTTATTTTTATTTTATTTATTTTTATTTTTATATTTTGTTTTATTCCATTTTATTTTATCTTATTTTTATTTAATTTTAATATTTTATTTATTTTTTTAATTTTTATTTTATTGCATTTATTTTCATTTTTTTCTTTCATTTTATTTCACAATACTTTCTCTTATCTTATTTTTATTTTTCATCTTATCTCATCTTATTTTAAAATTTCATTTCATTTTATTATATTTAATTTCATTTATATCAGCTTGGCTTTACCCCAGGTGGAATCTTGTGCGTGGGTTTTGATTTTTTTTTTATTATTATTCTTTAAATCTCTTTTTAAAGCAACTCCAGCCTCCGAGCTGTTGAGACTAGAGAAGATGCCAATCACTTGGAGAGAAGACTCTGTGTGGGAGGATGTTAATCACCACATTACTGGAGATGTTTTCAGTTAGGAGGAGCTGAAAACACGAGTGCTCCAAAAGCTCCATTAATTCACTGCGTTCTGATTCCAGTGGAATTTGGAGCGGTGGGAGTTCCTGGAACAGGAGGGCGACCTGACAGAGTACCAGAATATAGTAAAAAAAATGATTTAAAGTAAATTGACTCCTAATCTATCACCTGAGTTATGTTACTGTGCCAGTTCTTAGGAGCTTCGTTCTGAATTTGGAGAAAATTTGGATAAAACGACTGCATTTTAATATATAACAAAGTTAAATCTCAGCTCTGAGTGCAAATTCAAGTCAGCCATGTAATATTTTAGAGGCTTCCTGTGACAATTCAGTTTACAATCCTGTGTCAAGCATGAGTGCCTGGAAGGGGAAACTATCACCCAGTAAACTTGAAAATTATTGGGCAATAAAGGGAACAAAAATATAAATCAGAATGGAAGCATTTGAAGTAGCTTCAAAAATGACAAGCTGGGGGATTAGTCAACTTCTGAGAGACGTGATGCAAGCAGAGACATTTAAAGGAGCTGAATGTGGCATAAACATTGTAGTTACAGATGTTTAAACCTTCAAATTACACATGGAGTTGGCAGGACTCCATTCCCTTGGTGGATCTTGCACCAGCGTGGAGGGAAGTGAACGGAAGCAAGGGAAATTTCACTTTAATTCCCTGTATCCCTCAGTGGTGATCTGAACACTGAAAAACCACGGTGCTGATATAAAAATGGCTCGTTCAGTTGAGTTCTGTGCTGCTTCTAACTGAATTTTGGAAAGAATAAAACAGCACCAGGGTAAATCCCAGCCAGCAAAGCGAGGTTGTTGTGACCACAGCAGGGTTGGGGTGCTCCCGAGGCAGGATCAGAGGGAAGCTCCTTTCCCTGCC